ATCCATGATGAAAACCTCTCTTCATGACCTTTTTCTGCCGCGAGCGTGTCGCTAAACGCTTTCCTGCTGGGCGTGTTTGGATACGCATGTGGCCGGGTACTGTAGGGCGCTGGGCTGGGGCTCTGGGGTTCCGTATTGGCGGGAACTGAAGGCGATTTTGAATATTACTAATGAATGGGGACCCGGATACGCAGTCGGGTGTGCGCTGTAATGGCGTGAAGTTGGGACCTTCTGAATCATAATCATTTGAATGTGGATTTGATCGCAGGTGGTGGGGTATTGAAGTGGTCGGAAGGTGGGGCATCGGTGAGAAGGTGGGGTCATTTGTATAGGGTTCTTCCACTGAGGGGTAAGATCTGCAGCAGGTACAAAACTGTTTCAGAGGAGTTTAGAGAAATTTCTAAACAAAAGTTGAGTCAGCACATTATCATTACACCGGGCGTTCGTTCCCTACGCCCGTTCTCCTACAGTACCGCGCCTCCTGCAGATCTTATCTCCCATTCGAATAGTCTTATTTAAACTCGCCCACCTTCTCACCACTGCTCCTTCAGACCGCCTAGAAGTCCCAATTAAACTGCCCTACTTTCTCGCTACTACAGTACACCGTCCCTTGCAGACTTTACCGCCTACTCGAATAATCAATTCTCGGACAACCCCCCCCCCCCCCCCCCTCCCCCTTCTCTCCACTTCAGTACCCCGCCACCTGCGGATCTAACCCCATTCGAATAATTATCATTCAAAAGCCCCAGCTTCTCGTCAATACAGCGCCCACCCACTGAAAATTCAGCTCCTCACTCGAGTAGTCATTATTTAAAACCGCCTTCAGTTACCCGTCGCCTACGAATTGAAGTCCTCCAAAGCCACCATACAAATCCGCGCCACTAAAGTACCCGGCCACATGCGTATCCAAACACGCTCAGCAAGAAACCGCTCATGACACGGCAGGAAATGGTTATGGGGGGAGGATTCTATCACGGGTTGACCCTTATAATATTCGATGGCATTTCTCCACAGGGAATCTAACAGCTTACAACTTAGCTGCAGAAAGACCAGTGGAAAGGGAAAAAACAATTTTATGATTTGAGCGTGTCGAAGTTTGAAGTTTGAGGCCATAGCGAGGGAGAAATTTTGATCTATGATAAGGGATAACATAACAGTCTTGCAGACAACAAAGAGTTGTCTGCAGTAGAAGAGTGCTTCAACGCCACCTCCTCAAATCTCGGAGTTAAATCCTTTGGAAAATGTAAAAAATCGGCTTAATTCTTTTGCCGTTAAATGGTATCATACTCCCAATGAAACCTGTAAGGAGGAGTGTTGAGTGCAGAGACTGTAGATGGATGCTGTAGATGCAGTCATCTACAGCCTTCACATTAGACATGAATGATGGTGACTGAACAAACCCATTCAATCACTTTCACATTTTACTGAGTAAAGTCGAGTACGTGGCACACTCTAAAGAAAATTCTGAACACTTTATCCTCAGGGACCGATAGGCCCCTACAAGCACTGAAGCGTGCACCCCTTAGGCATGCATTTGCTTTCTAGATGGAAGTCAAGTGCGTGGCGCAATACAAAACTTCAGCACTTCAGGGTGTCAGCTTATAGAGCTCGATGAGCTAAGTTCAGTGAAATTTTAATTTTTTGGTTTACTCCAATCTAAACTGATTTATGAAGAAAAGACGAAAAAGACGCGAGTTCGCGGTACTCGCGTGAATTTTCGAGTTCATACCACGAGTTCATACGCTTCCAAAAGCGGCGAACGCTGTCCTTCATGTACGTCATCTTATAGATCTTCTCAATCAGTTACTTATAATAATTTGGTTACGTTTTCGAATCTGCTGAGTCTAGTTAACCTGTACGCTCCATTTTTCGAGTCGATCTGTCCATATGTTGAACTTACAGCAGCACACTTACAGTCGGGCGCAGGACTTCTTCCGCTAGTTTCCAGAAAAACCCTAGAAGCGTTGAAACAGCTATAGCAATAGCATCTGCAGATATTTCCGTGTCAAGGGTACATTTTGAGGAAAAATAGAATTAGGTTATCCGTTCTAGAAGGTCTATAAATTTCCGCTAAATTGATGACGTAGCACGACAGTTTCCTGATACTGTTGCTTTTGAAAGAAGCTGGAAAAATCATTCAAAAGTCACATAGCTACAAATTGCAATTCTTCGCAAGTTCACTATCTGGGAAATATGAGCCAAAATATATAGTATTAGAAGCACAGCTTTTCCTATCTATCTAGGTTCATAATAAGTTTATCTGTAGTCGGCTGCTCTCATGGAACACAGGTTGGATCGCCGTGCCTACATCAGGCTCTCTTCCTTCATATATTCAATGTTGAGATACCTTACTCACTTTAGTCATTCCTCCTAACGCTTCGGCTTGAAAAAAAGAATAATTGTTAGCAACCCCATGTCGTGTAGTCCAAATCGACGCTGGTCAAAATCGCTAGAGTCTTTGATCACTGCAGTTACAGCTCTACTCTCACCACATTACTTCAACTTTTTTTCGAATTTGATCACTGTACTTTCAAAGGAACGAAATTGCGAATAACCGTTCAACTAAACATCAGATTGTTGTGTAGCGCTCAAAAGTGCCCGGCCAAACGACCGAACGCTTTTTCGGCCGTAACTTTTTTCTTAGTGGAGCAAATCGCGCGAAATTTTGATATGTTAAAGTGAAGCATATTTCACACTTTTTAACACTAGTCAACTGCAAAGCATCAATCCTACTTACTATAAAGCGCTTAGTCTGTCTGTCTGTCTGTCTGTCTGTCTGTCTGTCTGTCTGTCTGTCTGTCTGTCTGTCTGTCGTCTGTCTGTATGTCTGTCACGAAATTCCTTAGCTCCTTTAGATCTGCCTAGAGAGACCGGGTCAAGCGTGGAATGGGTGGGCCATGTCCCGAGAAGTAAAGCACACATGAGCTTGGCGGAGACCCGCCCACAGTGGGCGTGGCCTGCATCGAAATGAGCTGTACTCAGGACCATGATTTCAAATTCAGTCACAAGACGGCCTCAAAACTGGGAGTGAGGGTGGCTAGAGGTGAGCGTTGGTAAGTTAGATGCGATTGGGGAGACCCACCCTCGATGGGCGGGGCGTCCTCCAAAAATGGCATGCTTTATGAAAACATCTATAACTCGGTGTGGAGAAAGCCAGCAGAGCAGAAAAAAGCTGATTTTGGAGGAGCATTAACGAAGGTGTCTCCATCATAAATGACCCTCCCACAATGGGCGGAGCGTGCCTCAAAGCTCACATCCCATCTTACATTTATAAACGAAAATCCATAACTCCAGTTTCCATGGACCTAGAAAGTTCAAACTTGGTNGGAGTACAGGCGACAGGATGTGAACACTTATGGGGGTGGCAGGACCAGACTCCGCCCACAGGGGTGGGCTTTGAGCGGAGACTCATAAATCCTGTTCCTATACGCCTAGCAAGTTCAAACTCGGTAGGAGTACAGGCGACAGGATGTGAACACTTATGGTGGGTGGCAGGACCAGGCTCCGCCCACAGGGGCGAGGTTGGAGCGGAAACTCACAAATCCCATAAAGGTGTATAATGAAAATTAGCTCATGTGGCTCCGTTTCTCATGGCTAGAGCCCGTAGCGCACGCGATAGCGTGCGTAGCCGCCTGGTATCTGTATAACTGAGAAAGGTACTTGTTGTGGTAGTAGACTTCGCTGAAAGCAAAGTTGACCACGTTTGCAATTAAATACTTCACCTTATGTTTTTTCTCCTTCACTGTGTTCGGCATTAGCGCTCGTACAATTTAGACATGCCAAGAAAGAAAGAAATCTCAGAAGGACCAATGTCCGTATTTCCAATTGATTTTGAATTCAAGCTCTTTGGGATAACTGGAACACGATGAGTTTGTAGGTCAATAGTGGTCAATATTAACAGACGTCCATGCTATACATATTGAAATTTGGCATGATTAGATCAAGCAGGAAAGGAGTTGCGACTGAAAAGTACGACCGAAAAAGCATTTGGTCGAAGATTTCCAAACGCTACCGTATGAATCAAATCGAGGTATTGACGAATATCCCCATAGCGTAAATCCCAACCTACATGGAAGTTTTTTGTCTGAAAGAAGCATTGCTCGAAGGTGCATGATCTGGGAAGCTTTTCAGAAGGAATGGTCATTTCCGACCAACCTCTTGAAGAGCACGTGTTCTTGACTTTGCTATTAATTCTGACGTGTATTTTCAGTCAGGACGGTATTTCTGCTCAAACCGCAGATTGCAGCTCAAGTCATGTGTATTTGAATGAGTTATCCCGTGCATTACTTATCAGACCCTCGCTGCTCATTTGTGGTTCGTTCAACCTCATTTCGTGCGCCTCTGCCCTTCGTGGTCGAGGTTTACTCAAGCAACCTAACACCAGTGTTTCTACCAGGACGCACGGTCACTTCCCAATTTTTGAGCGCTAGGTTCAAGGGGATAGGTGCTAGGAATTTCCGGTCAGGCCCACTCACCGGCATACACCGGCGCACGAACAAAAAAACGCACACACAAACAAACACACTTAAACATATATCCACAAAAGCACAAACACAACGCGCCGCCAAACCAACAGATACATTTAGCGCGTTATATATAGTGAATACTTATCGCGTGAATCGCGCGAGTTACAGGCAATCAAAAACAAACGTCCGAACTTGCGAAGCTATGCAGAGAAGCGATAAAGGAAGTTCTGAAGGAGAGAGAGCATTCGTAAAGCCCGACAGAGCTCGCCAATTACAACACCAAGATGACTTCCCTTCGTCGTCCTCACGGAACAGTTACTGCATCTCGAAGGGCAATGGAAAAGGTCATCTACGACTTCTACTCGATCTCTTCGATAGCGTCTACCTGCCTACCCATCATCTTAGGCAAGACGAATATATCGCTCCTTCGGTTCTCCCTTCCGAAATACGACATGCCATCACGTCGATGAAGAACTGTACGGCGCCCGGTCTCGATAGGATCAAACCAGAACATCTGAAGAGTTTCCACCAGTTATCGTCAGAACTCTGGCTAGGCTCTTCACGCGGTCACTGTCGGAATGCAAAGTGCCCACGTCGTGGAAAACTAGCAAGACTGTGTTGCCGTGCAAAAAGGGAAATCCAGTCGATATTGGCACTTATCGCCCAATCTGCTGCTGTCTGCAATTTATAGCTTTTCACTCGCGTCATCCTAAACAGGATTGGCAGAATATTAGATGAAGGACAGCCATGCGAGCAAGCAGGGTTTTGGAGAGGGTTCAGCACAATCGTTCATATCCACACTCTTACAAGATTCACTGAAGTATCGCGAGAGTACAAAATGCGTTCATTGTTTTGAAGAAAGCCTTTGATACTGTCGAGACAGAAGCGGTAATCGAAGCTTTGGGTAACCAAGGTGTCCCTACTCAATATATAAGAATGCTTCGTGAGCTCTACGACAACTTTACGACCAGGATTTCACCATTCTACAAGAAAGTCATTGTCAACGTGAGGAGAGGTGTCCGGCAGGGCGATACCATATCGCCCAAACTTTCCAGTGCCGCTCTCGAGAATATCATGCGTCATTCGGAATGGGAAGACTCGGGAGTGGAGGTCAACGGCCGCTATCCACATCACCTACGCTTTGCAGAGGACATCATCTTCATAACACCAAACATCGAGCAGGCGGAACGAATGCTGGCCGAGTTTGACAATGGTTGTGGAATGATCGGATTGAGACTGAACTTAACGAACACGATGTTCGTGAAAACAAATTGGTACCTGATGCTCCTTTCACGCTAAACGGAAAGATTATCCCCAAATGCTCAAGCTTTGTTTATCTAGGTCGGGAAGTCGACATAGTGGACCGGACTGTACCCTTTCAATGGACCCTTTTTATTTATTTAGAGATATTTCATTACACAGATATTATCAATTGAGAATTCCAGAGTGTTGGCGGTCGGTTAGTTTTGTCGCAAAGGATGCCGAACAAAGAGGATACTTTATTGGGTTGCAAACCTTGCTGGGTAGCGGCAGCAAGAAATGAACAAAATTCTCATCTACTTACCGTAGTTCCGCTACTAGGTCTCATCGCTGCACTTACCATTCACTTTGGCCACCTTACTCTACCATCCCGTCTTATCGAATGAAACATACTGAACAGTCAAAGCAGTATCGTAAATACCGAATGCGTTAGGATTTTGACTGGCTCGTGATTTCTTAGACTCCTTATCTTCTCTTATCAATTGTCATCGTTTCCTGTCACCGAGTACCTACAATTTCGTCCTATCCCACATCACTTAGCAAAATGCCGAACTTCCAGTTGTTACGAAAAGCTGTGATCATACAAAATTTGAACTGTTACGTTCATGGGGCAGGAATTATAAATTTCTGCTCAACCATTTAATTCGCGCAAACTCCGCTCCGTGGGCAGAGTCTGTTTTTGCAACCTGCCGTGAGTGTTTCCATCGTGTCGCCTTTACTACTACCAAATTTGAACGCTCTAGACCCAGAAGAAAGGAGTTATGAATTTCCGGTCAAGCACACACACACTGACACACAGACACACACACAAAATGAATTTCCGGCCAAACACACACACCGACACACAGACACACACAAACACACAGACACCGAAAAAACAAGAGACACACCTAGCGAGTTACATAAAGTAAGATTCAATCCAGTAACAGACTAGTGGTTAGTCATAAATTCATATAATTTATATATGTGTACTTAGACTACATATAGTGGTCATCGTATATCACTGGATCATCCATATATGCAGACAGCATAAAGGCCGTGACCTCTTCAAACCTAATGAAGATCTTGATGATTTGCTACTGATCAAGATCCTTTCGCAGCGAGGTGCGAAGTGATCTCAGTTGTACGGAAGTTCGCACACCCGTAAATCCGTGCTTATGAAAAGCATAGGCTTACACATCCTGTGACAATGAACATTGAATTGTGATCCACATGGTCTGCTGGTTGTACGAACCAGTTGCTTGTATGGTTGCCGCCCACATAAACAATAATTTTGTCCCGTTCACATTGTACAGTGTCGACCTTGTTTGTTAGTCAACTCTCTCACCTTACCTGATAACTGTGAATTCCTTCACCTAGCTGTATCAGTGGAAACCTGTCGATCGAATCATTTGGCCTGACCGGGAGCGGACTTGTTGTTCTTTGACTCAATCGGCAAGTTCCTACATCCTCGTTACATAGCGAAGAGTGTGCCCCAAGCTTTCTCATGGAAAACCTTGCTTTTCTCCGCCCCATTTTTATTACGCCAGGCCTTATGTGCGTGAACATTTTTGTCTTTATAGTCTGACCATCATACCGTAGTCAAAGGGGACAGAATTTGAGCTTTAGGAACGACTCAATGCCCAATCAAGGAAAATCATATCTTAGCATTTAAAATGTCGTTCACGCAAGAAGTCAGGTGGGGGTGAAGTTGAGGAGTTGTGTGAGTGGCGGTTACTGGACCTCCTACCCTTTACCTTTGCTTGACCTAACCTTCCTAGATTCCTCTGACTCGTTTCGGCCGATAAGGTTTACAAAATGAAAAGGCAAACGAGGAGCCTTCTTATCAAAATTCTAAAAGATTGGCGTATTGTTAGGTAAATAACAGAGAGTCATTTATGATTTTGACCAATTTTTTTCCCGGCTTCTACGGCGCCATGAATTTCGTTTCCAACGCGCAATCCTTCATTTCCTCGAAATAGACGTTCCTCACCCACATCGAACTGCTCACCTTGGTATAAGAACGGCTATTGGCGCTAGGAATAATTTTTAATTTGCGAAAGAATACTTCTTTTTTGGTTGCTTTCGAAAGGCTTCTCATTATTCTATGATTTTTTAGCACCTATGGCAGCAGAAAAGAAGTTGGGATGGATTGTAACTGCGATATTCATCGTCGCTGACATGGTCGGGGGTGGAGTCGTTGCCATGCCGGTGGCCTTCAAACAATCGGGTTCGTCATTTTCAAATTTTCTGTGTTTTTCTTCATTCACTGTGTGTCCGTATGTTTTAGCTTACTAACAGCCGAATTAATTAGAACAATGGTGAAACATGGTGAAGTCACATTGGAATATGTTGAGATGTGAATCAAGTTTGGACATTGACAGTTCCCGTTCCAGAGAACCATGCTTTTGACTTTGTTGAAAGTTACTCTAATGTTTGGACGAATGCCTATCCAATGATGAAGGGGGCCAGTCGATACAAAATGCAAGGTTCCCATCCTTCCAAGCCAACTCGATTCACCATATAAGAGATGACGTTTTGAGACGTTGCTCAGTCTCGTCTGAGGGACGCGCTACCCTTTCGACTACCATTCAAATCAAAATGACGTATTGTATGCGTATGTGGCCAATACAATGCGTTGCTGTGTCCGTCCGATGTATAAGTCAGTGCTTTTATCTCCCGCCTAAAACCAATTAGCCGACCTCAGAGGGGCGGAAAGCTTGTTGGCTCAATCGGATATCGATCCGGAGTTCGAACTCGGACAGTGCGCAGTTGCTACTACATACACCACCTCGTTTCAGGTCTCCTTGGCGGTATTATATTCATGGTTTCCATTGCAACAATTTTCGAATACACTGGCTATCAATTAGGTAAAGTATGGTGTAAAATGATGCAAAGGTGAGTTGTTCCGGAAGTTATATTTGGATTATTATAGTTCGGTCGTAAATTTTTCCTAGATTTGATCCACGTAATCGTTTCATTTTTTTAGCTATCCTTAATTCATATGGTGTACCAGAGCCTATTTTTGTTTTAGTAAATCACGTAGTGAGTTAGTTACCTAGGATTTTTTGTCCCGAATGACTCTGAATAAATAAATAGATAGATGTCAACAATCAGATAATAGATGAGCATGGATAATGATTATCAATAAGTAAATAGATTTCACTCATGATAGTTCGTCTTAAAATTTATGTAGCTGAAGTAGTGAAAATGTTTGTCGCTGTAAGAAGTTACTTGCTATCTTGGGCACGATGTTTCGGAAGTGTGATTGTGAGTTTGACCCTCATCCGAGCAGCATTAGCATCACAATCTTATGTATTCACTATTAGAGGATTGTCTTCCAATTAACATGCTAGTCACAACATTACACTACCCAGTGAACTCTAGTGAACTCTAGGCTGCTGGTCTTATCGCAAAACATTTGAAAAGAAAGGGGCTCTTTTATGAATGAATTTATAGGAAGGTAGTAGTTGCCACCTTTTCACTGGCATTTATATTTCACATGGGCATCTCAAACAAAAAATTCAACTGGGGACCTTTCATTTCATAGAATCTCACACCTTTCCTGGTAGCACACAGTTAGCCGACCTTGTAGGGACGCAAAGCTTGGTTGGCTCAATCCGATATCTACTCGGAATTCGAACTCGTAACCGTGCATGTGTGACAGTGCGCAGCTGCTACCACACCACCTCGTTTAAGGTCTCTTGCAGGAGCTAGACTCTTGCAAGCAGATTTGAGCATTGGAAGCTGGGATTATGAAGATTTTATGTCCGAATGTTTTACGTCGATAGGACGTTATAAAGGCCCAAAGATTGTCTCATGTGTATGCTCTGACGAGTTTCAACGGCATTGGCAGGCTGCCCCAACCGCAAATTAACCCATGTAAAAATTTAACTTGTCATGATCCATAACGACAGCGAAAGGCAATTCTGGACAGATTTGACTTGATGTTGTCAGCTCTTTGCTCGATTGATAAGTTGCAGTCTTGTCCTAGGCCGATATAACTTTTGGACTCTTGATCTTCTTGATCGCACAGCCCTTATACGAAGAGAAAACAGGTATGATGCGATAGATGTCCTTCCATGTCATTTTCGCCATGGTCATCTGGTATAACCGAGTGCCGGAACTTCTCCAAACAAACAAACACTATCCTTGCACTGGAAATTCAAACCTTTCCCTTCAAGCGCGCGACTGCGCGCGATCGGGTGCGGCGAACGCGACGCCGGTTTTGGGGAGAAGATACCGGTCCCGGTAAAACCCCTATTTTCACTGATTTCAAGGAGCTTTATTTTTTCGTGAAATCGGCGAATTTTCTCGCTCTCTTCACCACCGACGCACTATTCCTAACCAATTTTTCCACTGTTCAACTTGAATAGGGTACCTTAGAATAATCGTGAACTGTGCTTTTAAGAGTAGGCAGATCAGTATGCAGCGTAGTAGAACGGAACTAGTAACAAAAGGCCGCAACTCGAGTGAAGCTTTTTGAATTCGTGAATGACACTCCAAGAAAATATCCAAACTCGTTGCACGTCAATGTACAATACATTAATCACACTTTCTACTACAGCTCCCTTTGGTGAAGATCTGCTATCTGCTGCGGAACTCTGAAAATAGGATCTGTTTCAACTATCACTTTTGCTTTCCAATCTATCCATCGATTTTTATACTGACTTTTATTCCTGTTTTGAATGATTATATTTGACCAGTCGGACCGCCCGGCTAACGCCGGCCTTTCCTCCTTCCTGTCTGTATTAGGTTGAAGCATGATTATTGCGGATTTTTTTAAGTAAATTTTGGTTGAAGAAACGATAGAAAATTTTAGCAAAGACATGTTTAAATAATTACTCCGGAACATATCCACCATCTACGTCAAGCACTGCTTCCCATTTGCTNGGCAGCTGGATTCTACAAGCAAAAAAGTTTCGGTTCTCTGAGGTGATCCAAGTCTTGACGTCGGCCATTAAGTCGTTCACTCCGCCAAACGTTCTGTTCGCCAGCCATTTTTTTCAACGGACGATTGACGTGATAATCCATAGGAGTTTCTGTTGGTGAAGAGGGTGAACGTGGAAGCAGTCTCCAATCCTTGTTTGGCTTTGGCTGACTATTCCATCGCCGAGGAGTTCACTGGGATCACTTAATGACTGTGCCACCTTCCAACCTTTCTCGAAGTAATAAAGCATAATGTGGCAAATATGAAGATGACTTTCTGGACACATTTCTCTTTATTAAATCCCGAATTCAATATTTGAATTATATCGAGAGAAAAGAAGCCGCGAAGAATTCCGCAATAATTGCGCATCAACCTATTAATAATCGATGAATCATCAAGGTATGCGGTATGCTTGCGATTAAAAGTCTCGATATACTGCTCTTCATCACAAAAATAACTACTCATCAAAGATTCATCTGTTAAGCGAACCATGCCTATAATGTCGTCGTTATCAATGGAACTTATTTTTTCAACGAATATATGATTATTTGTGAAACGAGATTACTGGCGGTTGGATAAGTATTGTCGCAGTTGATATCGGAACAAAGGGAAACCGTGACGCTTCTTCGAACCACGAACCTTCCAGAGTAGCGGTCGCAGTCTAACAGCAAGAAATGAACCAAACCTTCACCCCATATTATCGTAGTTCCTTTCATCGGTCCCTTTCACTACATTCACCATTCACTTTTTGTCATCCCACTCCAGCGTCCCGTCTTACTGAATGAAACGCGCTAAGCAAAGGCATCAAGATTTAGTTGGCAAGTTTTTCTCGCTCATTAAGGCTTCTTATCAGTTTATATCGATTGTTATCAGTTGTTGTCTCCTAGTACCTGCGATCACGTCACATCCTACATCACCTATTAGAATGTCAAGGTACCACTGGTAATGAAGAGTGTCACAAACCTGGTGCTTCTCGCCTTCTATGGCTCAATATCAGTCTTTATCAGCTGTTATGATTTTCTTCACCTATCATTCCCGATCCCTTCATATCCCACGCCACTTGCCAAAGAGCCAAGACTTCACCGTTTACACGAAGTGCTCTACAGATTCTCTGGCTTTCGCCTTTCAAGGCTTCTTCTCATTCCTATAAATTATCACTTCCTACGACCAACTATCGGTGTTCCCATTCAGCCGTCTGTGTTCCTTTCAAATTTGATCTCTGGTTCACGGAAATAGAGAGGAATTCCGGTCAAATACCCACGCGCACATAGACAAAGAACAGACACACGTAGCGGATTATATCTGTGCCAATCGAATAGCCCTGCAGCCGGGCTCCTTTCCTTATTTTACAAAGTAGCGAGAAAATGTAGTTTAGGAGGGGAGGGGGCGGAGTGGGGGTTGGCAAGGCTTTATCTCCGTTTGGAGACGGTTTTACTTGAAAGAATATAATTCACTTAGGAAGTTTCAGAAGCTCGAGAGCAACGGGATGGGTGAGATGACTATGGCGAGCATGGCAGAAAGCTGGCATGGGGTATGGATTGGACATTTCGTTAACTCATCCACCACAGCCTTCAATTCTAAGGCTTTGGTAAAAAAAATATGTATATTACGGGGTTCACCCCCCCCCCCCCCCCCCCCCCCCCCCCCCGGGGGGGGGGGGGGGGGGGGGGGGGGGGGGTGAACCCCGTAATATACATATTTTTTTTACCAAAGCCTTAGAATTGAAGGCTGTGGTGGATGAGTTAACNAAAAAAAAAGCGGGTTTCGTAGATTTCAAGCATTTTATCATGTGCTCCAATACAAATCTTCGGTAATTTTCGGTCATGGGAGGTTATCAATGACCGGCTTGCCGCTTCGCGTTCCAAGCTGTGGTTAGGTAGTTGTCGTGGAACTGGAGGGATAGCGGCCCCCTTGCTTGACTCTCCCTTATCCGTCCGCCTGAGGTAGCGGCTGAATTGGTTCTTCACGAGTTAAGTTGCACACAGCGACCCCGGTACATTATGTCCAAATCACTGCGCTCTGGATTAAGGAGAAAGACTCGTTCTGGAAAATATCTGCCTATCAAAGGAGAGGTAACCTGTTGCCCTGCCACATGCTTTCGTCTTTACCATCAGATGTCGGCTTGTATTGTCCGAAAGCTCTCGCCAACGTTTTTCTACTGTTCCATGGAATTCTGCTTAGCTTTCATTATCCTTTTCAATTACAGTGATATAAAACAATATATGTGTATATCTTCAACGGCATGTCTGTATGTCCACACAGATTGTGGTGGGCTCACTTCATATGCTAAACACAGTAATAAAGATGGGCTTCGTTCCCCTGAAGAGAGGGAGCCCCCGATACGGCGGCGTTGGGTAGTACTCCCCGGCAGAGGCCGCTAAAATCTCAGGGCCACGACAAGCTGCCTGAAAAGCATCGAAGATTTGATTATGCAAGTGCGTAGGTCAAGTACGACGTCATCGGACTGACCAAAACGAGAAAGCACAGCACGTTGCACGCCACTTTTGAAACTGGAAAAGAACTGTTCCTTGGAACAGTTCTTCTCCAGTTTCGAAAGTGGCGTGCAACGGGCTGTAGGATGAAGACCAGCGAAAATGGACAATGGGTAGAAGTGGCGTGCGAAGAAGGAAGATAGAGAAGATACAAGATGATCTAGAAGAAGGATAAAGGATTGTATAAAAGAGTGAGAGGGGAGCAATAAACATTCACTTGTCAGTGTGTTCTCTCGCTAATCAACTGGCGATCAGGAGGACTCAAGAAAGAAGACGTGGAAGAAGAACGCCAACGCCAGACGAGGAACGAAGAAGACAGAAGAACAGCCCACCATTTAGATAAGGATCACAAGCACAAGGCCAAATGCAGTCCACTCCCCTAGCAAAGGAGATGGACGAAAAGGGCGGTATAGTTGGAGCACCCACCAGGGCAATTGGAGTCTCCCCGGCAGGTCAGGACCCTGCTACGGCCCTCGATGT